TGATTGTAAAAGTGTAGAACAAATAAATAACTTACTCCACTCTTAGCGACATAAGTATGAAGCAGTACAATGGCAGGGACATTTCCTTTAGTAGCTTGTTTGAGAAGATAGTCTATCAGAACAGGAACACCTTCCTCATCAGTCACTGCTACGACCACCTTCTCACAGCTGTCGATCATCTGAAACAGTACCTCATTCACATGTGTTACTTTATTGCCACCTCTAATTCGTGATAGTTAGAACTGGCGACAGCAATCATTAATTAATTAATATAGATTACAAAGGGCTGCAGAGTTTACCTACCGGATCATATTGATCGTTCGTTTGACATGCCGAAAGCAGTGCATCCAAAACACGAGGAAGTTGTCGGGATAATGAACTTCCTTCAAAAAGAATCATCACATTTGAGCAACTAATCACAATAAAGACTCAAGGGAGACAGACAAGACAATCGCAGTTGTCGCGCCGCCGCGTCATATCGTGCGGCGGTGCCCGGCAAATCCTCGATGTGCACCATTGGTCAATTAACGCAGCGAAATTCGAATGAATTCAAGCGGATACAAATTCCATCGACAGACAAGACTGGCGATTTCGAATTTATCGGTTCGTTTAACACTCAGATTCAAACGCCCAGGCTGGACAAGTTGTCTGTTGAGCCACCAGTGCGGCATTTTACGACTCTTTTGTCATACACACAAGACACAAACCGTGGGTATCGTCTTACGGCGGAGTCACACGAACAAGTCCCCCTTTCCCAGTGATAAGTCCTTCTTCTCTAGAAAGCGGGTTGCTACGGTGCGTCAATGAGGAAATCGAAACGATTCAGGTGACTCCGTCCACGCAACCAACGTGGAATGTTGCTCTAACGATCTGAGCATCTTTATGAAAAGAGAATTTCTCAAAACAGACTAAACAGAAGTGAGAGAGAGCGCGATTTTGTTAACCTCGAATGTCCAACCTAAAAAAAACTGCGGCGTAATCCGTCGACCGTGGATGCATTTAGCACTTCCGCAGCTCCCTATTGTCGTATTCATTGCTTTATTAGACGTGACAGGTAGTTTCTTTAAACTCTGACTGGTATCACTTCATGGCTTCACAGGATG